AATAGCATCCATAGCATCAACTCTTGAAGGGTTTTACAAACTTGCTGATACTCCTGATATCGACTCCGTAACTTTACTCCAACATATCTTGTAGGAACTAAAGTTTTAAGTTGCCCAGGAGGACCAGATCAAGAATTATCAGTGACAGGTGGTGGAAAAATATATTGGTGAAGTCTTTTGCTTTGAGGAATATAAAATATAATTGAAAGAACATTGTAACAAACACAGCAAATCATGTTAATCTGAATACGGAGACACTACTTAATGCATTAACTCCAAATAACCATTAAAAACACATCAAAAACTCAGAAATTCTCTTCCTACAGGTAGTTTTTAATTCATTTGCCTTTCTCAGCATCTCAAATAATAAAGTATTTAAGTTTTGCGGCATTGTGAATAGCCTGTAAACTACACCAACATTTAGCTTAGTCACTCACATATATCTCAAGTTCAAGAGTTTCAAAATTTTTGTCATATGTAACTGTCTTGGGTATAATTGTGACTCAATTTCTATAACTATCAATTTCATCTTTCAGGTAGATTGTAACAACCCCACTTTTTTTCTTACACTTCAGCCCTACATCAAACAGATTTCACAGAAAACTAGTGGTGCACAGCACATACTTTCTTGCTTTGTTTGTAATGGATATGATATTTCTGCTTCTGCGGCCATCCAATAAATTTCATAATGAATGCATTCAATATCGTTACCTTATGCACATCGGTATATACACCCTTCCCAACTTTCATAAAGTTTAATATACCATTTTATTGAACATACAGAACATTGTCACACTAACATTATAAGTAAATAAAACTGCCTTATCTTTCCCTATCCCTTTTCTGCCTATCACGTTGTGTTTCAACTATGAACTTCTCAAATATCCATCACTGCATTGTTGCCCAATACAGTGTATAGTGGTAATATAAAATCAACGTAAATGAAAGTATGCACAAAATTATGGAACTCAATTTTTTCACTTTTTTCTTTTGTAGTTCTTTTAAATCGTATTTTTATTGAGAAAACCTAATTGGGATAATTTCAATTGGGATTTGCAGATTTCTTGAAAAAAAATACATAAATATATTGAGACTACAAATTGTAGAGTAGGGTAAAAATCAAATTAATATTGGGATTTTCAATAGAAAATTATAATTTAAAAATATAAAACAATAGTAAATTTCAATTTAAAGAAAACATTTGGAGAATTTTTTTAGGAAATAAATTTTTTATAAACTGCACACATTTAAAAAAATTGCCTAGTTTTTTTTTCAAAAAATTGTATGTTAACTTAATTAAAGAGCTTTGTTTTTATAACACTCTGTCTTAGGCAAAAATCTCTATCTTCAATTTTGTAGTTTTGTAATGTTAACTTCTGCAATTTTCGAAAAGAAGGAACATAGCTGAAAACAGGGCTAGCACCATATTTTTTTACTGATCCTTATTACATAGAAGGAGAAAATTTAAAGAAAAAATTTGGATCAGTATGGGACAAAAAAAGTTAATTTTTTTAAATTGCCTATACAGAGACAAGATTTATTCACTTTTTCATTACCAGGGCTCAGCAATAAGAGATTTTCTGGAGAAAACTGTATTGCTAAAACTGCACCTACTTTCTTGTATTGATGATGATGGTTGCTTAATACACATTTTCTTGAATATAACACTAGGTTTTTCCTTTAAAGTCTAATTCAAAAACTACAGGATCATCTTGAGTCCACAGGTAGAGGCTAGTTGGTAGAGATCTTTCCCATCAAGGAACTTGAATGCAGATATAGCAATAAGCAGTAAAGACGTTAAAAAAATTGCCTCACTGAAATCCCCTTATTATATTCACCGATGTATTTTGGGACTTGCTGCTAATATGTCGGGCAATTCAGACCCATATTTAAAATGTGCCAGTAAAAAGAGAATGTCAAATAAATGGCAGTGTAAGTGAAAAGAAGAAAATCATAACTAATATTTTGTTCCACTCAACAAGGCTGTAGATCGATGTGGTCAGGCAAACTCTCATTTCGACATCCAGGAGTGCAAACCTGAGATTTTCAAAAGATAGAAATGAAATATTCCACTTTGATGGAAGCATGCAATCTACATGCAATTCCAGACATGGAAAGTTAAAAAAAAAAAATATTTTTTTAGCAAAAAAGATCACATGTTGAAATCTTGAGAACAAAGATGTACAAGTTCAAAGTTCACAACTGGATCATGTGAACACTAAACAATGCAAACTACAAGTTAACGGTTGAAGAAGCAGAGGCCACTTAAAAGAATGCCACACATAAAATTTGGTTATACAGAAGGGAATATTCAAAGGTGATATCAGATGAGACTAAAAAGGCAAATTGAATGCACAAAACTTTGAGGGGGTCTAAAATGTCATTGGAAAACTGAGAACATTAGAAGATGCAAGGGCAGAAAATGGAAATACATAATTTATCATACCCATAACGATATACTTATCCACAAGAGGAAAGTATTACCTCATGAGTGACAAAGGAGAAAATGAGGCATCATTCCCAAATAGATAAAGCATCTTCATATGATTATATTTATTTCAGTAAAATGGGAAGTTATATGAGAGTACGCATGGCATACCAAAACCACAGCAGACAGAACTGAAAACATGCTGGTTTTAGCATTATGCATGGAACTTCCAGCATGGCTATTGTGTAGCAATGGGCTTGTGGCATTCATCACACTTTTTATTGCTATCTTGCAGAAAAAGAGCGACTGAACTTTAAGATTATTTTAACAAGTGATGGAAAATTTAACATACCCAATCAACAAGTGCTGCAACCTCATTAAGAACTGTATTCCTTCCAGGACATTTTATCAGTTTGTATCACAACCTTATACTACTACACACATTTTGAATAACCCAATCTTTTAATATAAACATACAATATCTCAAAAAGAGTAGCATTATTAATTACAGGTTTGGGCAGTATTTAAATACTTGTATTCCAGATACGAATTTTAAATACATTTTGTACTTGAAAAACAATATTTTTGAGTTTTTTGAAAGTGTATTTTAGTGATGTACATATATACATAAAGTAGGTGTATTTAAGAAAATAAATACTTCAAATACAGACGTAGAAGAAAATAGTTCAGAAAGAGATAATTTATTTTTCTTGGATTCCACTAGTGAATGCACCTCATTGAAACAAAACGGATCTTCTTTTTTAAATGATAAATCTAAATCTTTAAAATGGCTGGACAATTATCTGGCAATAGAAAAACAAAAGCCTTTATTCCTTATAACACTATTTTTCGTTCATCTGAGCCAGAAGAATGGCTATTTTCCTTTGCACGTTTTATACATTCGCCAACTAGGGGTTTATTGTCTGATGATTTGTTTGAACAATTAGTCATTTTAAAAGGAAATTACATTTCCTTGTTTTAGACATATTTTTGATATCATTTTATAATTCAAAACATTTATACACGTGGTTACAATACATTACAAAAGTTATTGTTCAAAAATTTGTATGACAGTCAATTACTAATGTACTGTAATTATCAATTAAAATAAAGTTGCAATAAAAACATATATAATACAAAATTATTACACATTTACAGTATTTTGAGTATTTGAAGAATTTTAAATACATATGTATTTAGCACATCAAGACCTAATGCATTTTGTGTATGTATTTAAATACTTTTTATAAAGTATTTTATTAAATTAAAGTATTTTAGTGAAGTATTTAAATACTAAATTTGAAGTATTTTGCCCAACACTGTAAATACGTATAACTTCTCAGAAAGTTCGCATATCACATTATCAAGTACTTGTCACAGGGTAAATCTATCATTTGACATTTCTAATGTTAAGCTCACATATCACATTATCAAGTATTTGTCACACGGTAATTTATTGGCACCTACCTTTCCTGACATTTCTAATGTTATAATTTTTTTTTAACCAAAGTAAAAAATCCTTCAATTGTCCACAGTTTTAAAAAGTATGTTGAAGGAATCTGTAAGGGGCCGTCCATAAATTACATAAAGAAATTTGGAGTATTATGAATACCCCCTCTTCCCCTGTAACGTGCGATTGACCCCCCCCCCTCATAATAATTACGTAATACTTCCAACCCCCCACCCCCTATGTAAATGCAAGAAGTGAAAATAAATTATAGTAAATAATAATAATAATAATAATACTAAATTTAAAAAAATGTATTCATTTCATATATTCAGTAACAACATCTAAAAACTTTAAATAATTCTCTTTTAGAACAAATTAATTAGATAATATTTTAATGGTTTAGTGTCATAAAAAAGGAAGTATTTCAACAAATGTTTAAAAATGTAAAAAAAAAATCAGTGTTGTGTAACACTAATGCAATACACCCCTTTCACCTATGTAACACAGCATAACGGTTCATCAAACCACCTCGTTAGTGTTATTTAATTTATGGACAGCCCCCAAGTGGAACACATTTCCGTCATACTCACACTTTGATTTATTTGAGTGCCACTTGATGTAAGTCAGCTACAACAATGTCATCCAATTGGGAGCTTCAATAACACTACAGTGATGTTACTATGCTTCAAGCTCCTGATTGGATGGCACAGTAACAGCTGATTAAACATGAAGTGCCATAATAAATAAAGTATAGGGAGGTCACTGTAAAGGTATCAAGGTGGTCAAATATTACATAGGTGGTTGGGCCCATGAATCTGTAGTCATCTTGGTATATTAGTAATTAGGTAAAAGCGAATGAGCATGACTCAAGTTTAGTTCCTGGACACAATTTGAAAAATTTACTTATACATAGATACTTATAAGTAAATAATTTAAATTTTCCACCACAAGAAAATAGGATATGAATTCAACAATACCCACATTATCACAAAACAAAACTTCTTTGTATAATTCTTGAGAATGAAATTAAATGTTTAGTTTTAACTTTGAACATCAATATTGTTCAGAACACACTGTAGGAGTTCTAAAAACAATAAGCATTTTCTTAGTTAGAAATATTACCTTTATGAAGATTCTTCAAAGCTCTTAGACCCCAACCTCGGCTTTCAGTTCTGAAGGGTTCAAGTGGAGGGTATTGTCTTTTCACAAAACACTGATTTCCACATCTATCTCCTGCTGCACATACCCCAGGAGTACATTCCACCATTAAAATCCTGTGAAAAATGTATTTTTAAAACCAATCTTTGTCGAAGTATACTACTACTACTACTACTACTACTAGTATTACTACTACTACCACTACCATTACTACTACTAATAATAATAACGATAATAAAATAATTTATTAAATTACCTGTTGAGACAATCAGAATCAATACCACAAGGGTTTTTGGAATCAGGATCACATTCACAAGGTGTCATGCTTGAAAGATCAGCTTCATACACCCGTACATTTCCGACAGGTTTGTTGGCTTTTATTCGTACATATGATGGGGGTTTCTATAACAAATAAAATTAGAACAAATTAATTAGATAATATTCAGATACTTCAAATTATCCTCTACAATATTGTAAGACAGCCAAAAGAGGTTTATACCATTTCAGCCATGAACTTAAGCAAAAATGTATTTTAGGTCAAACAACATTAGAAATTACTAAATAAGAAATTAATTACCTATTAAGATAACAAATTTGATGATAACTTTCATGAAAAAGTGACTTTATTAAAGAAAAATTAATGTAAAAAACTTAATTTATTCAATAACAAGTTTAAGACTAACCATGCCAGGCCGAGCTTCTGCTTCACGTAGTGATCGATCTACTCTGATTTTCTTATGAACTTCTGCAGCTTCTGTTAAGGCTTTTTGAAATAGACCATCAACAGAAGTTTTTTTGGCTGACTTATGTCCAGTGTCCTAAGCAAAAGCAGAAAGAAAGTGATCAACAATAAAAGACCCCACACTCATTTCCTCTTTCTAACATTTTTCAAGGAACACACAAATCATCATCACTTACCCCTTCTTGATACAAAAATACCCGTCCACGATTAACCCAATAATGATCATGTGAACCAAAAAATCTCACAGCAAATTCACCCCGCTTATGAGTCAAATTCTCAATATTATCAGGTACTTGATTAGGAAACAATATTTGGGCAGGCCACCATCTGAAATACACAAAATAAAGCAATTGAATAGATCAGAACTAAGCATTATGTAAGTACAATGACAACTAAAAAAATATGTCATCACCTGTATGCTCCCAATTTAACCCAAACTACTTCACCATACAAAGGATAACGTCCTGTATCACAATCTTCACAGATGTAACCTCCCTCAGGAGGAGCAATATGAAGACATTCAGCATGAAAAGAAGTTGGACACAAATCACAGCAAATTAACGATCCACCTACGTTAGAAGGAAATTGCTATTAGAAAATCATTAAGTTCTATCATAATAACAATTAGTTTACAACATTTTTAAATGTCACAACGAAGAGAAATTGAGACTTACCCATTGCACAAATAAAACACCATGCAGCATTAACATGATGATTTCCTTTGACAGGGGCTTCATAATGCCTAGGGCAAATAATCTGAGAGCCAGTCAATATTTCTGAGCCAGCCGGAACACAGTAATTACCTAAAATAGCACCACAATAATTACTATTGATCGTATTTGACAATAACAAACATTTGGGAACAAATAACTACAAACCTGTGTGATATGTAGTTGGACACAAAATACATCTCACTAAACGCTCATGGTTGAAACGCATTGTTGCATTTCGAGGATCATCAGATGCGCAAGTATGACATACATGTTGTGGGCATGTTAAAACTTGTGTTGCAGATCCTTCTGTTGCCATAACATTCTTATTTCCATTAATTTGTTTCTTAGACGAACCCACACATGAAGCTTGAGGCCAAGCTTTCACGCATTCTAAGTGATAAAATTTGCCACAGTGACCTATAAATATTAAAATAATCTTTACAAATTACAATTTATTAACTTTAATAAGAAATAAACCACTTCTCTGCTCTCAATCTTATAATTAGTTAAGCAAAGATTTTGGCACAAGAGTTCAAATTTTTAACAATAGGCTAATTAGAAGAGGTCTTTACTGTATTTATCAGAAGCAGGATTGTTGTTTGGTAAAGAAATAATAATCCCTTCTGCTCCACAGGATATTTCCTAAGTTTTATCATCACATCAGTAAAATACTTTTAGAAGTTAAATTACAATATATACTCCCACTGCCAACAAAAAATATATTTATCTGTTGCTTGTCTTTCCTGAGGTGCGGAATTCCTGTATTTTTATCACCGGTGTAATAATGGTATAGGAAGTGACAAGGGCATATATCTAGTCATGCCTGTGCAGTGACATGCTAATTGCTTGGTAAAATTGTTTGCAACCCACAAAACTTTTCTCTAAATTAAAATAATTTTTGAAATTAGAAGTGGTAATACCTAGCTCAGTATAATTTTAAGACAATGCAGAATTTGCATTTATCAGATCACAAACTGTCCAGAGTTTAAGCGTCATAACTGAAAACAAACATTTCAAAGCTTTGGGTAGAGGGATATGATAAAAGGAAGTATGTAAAAATGTGGAAATGAAATTTCACCCATTACTGTAAATCAGAGGATGTTTCAATAATATTAAATTCATTACATTTTAATAGATGTCATGAATAACTCCCTAAGCAACCGAGCTCAATTTTCATAAAAAATGGCTTTAAGATTACCTTCTCTCAGTTCACAACAGTATTTAAAGCAGGTTGCATGTGTATTAAATAACATATTTTCATTATGACTATTACAAGCTTTCTAGGAATCAAGTAATCAATAAATTTTCAATGTACTTTCACCCACTATACAATTTGCTATACATTATTAATCAAGAAACTATTGCATCAAATACAAACAACCAAACAAATAATTTACATAAACATGTATGAACAGCACTTTTCAATACATTTCATTAAAACAGGAATATGTAAAAATAATGTATATGCTTTAAAAACCTTTTCTAATTACATGAAAATATGTACTTACCATTAATGCAACGAATTCTGACATCTGAATCTGTCTTTGGATCTTTCTCAGAACCACATACAAAACACAATGGCATACGATTCTCTGCACAATCTCTGCATCGAAATTCTCCACTTTCAAACTCTTCTGTTGATTGTTTGTTTTCTTTATCACCATTGTACTTCTCTTTTTCTTCTTCATTAGTGGTTTTCTCTACTTTACTTTCCTTGTCAGCACTGTTATCACTGATAATGTCTCCTCCATTCTCACTTGCAATAGCATTATCACTCTTCATATTTTTAGGTTTTCTGCCTCTCTTTTTAATTTCAGTTTCAGGGCATTCTGATTTCACCGTTGGATACTTGTAACAGTCTACATGAAATACACCTAAGCAAGGACCTCTACATTTGATTGTATTACCCGGTTTCCAGCAGATTTGACACACCTTTTCTTGGCGTGTTCCTCGAAATAAACCACTAACTTTCTTCACGAGTGCACCTGCAAAAGTAAGAGAGGGAGTAGACACTCTTGTGCTATCAGACGAATTATCATTATAATTTTCAACTCTGTCATCATTGTCGCTAGTATCCTCTTCAGCCGATGAGGACTCATCAAAACTATCTTCTCTCTCTCGTTTGTATCTGTGCCAAATCAACAAAAACATGTCAGCTCATATTCTTAACACTATAATTCAAAAAAGTAGCACACACAATTTAAATAAGGAATAATGTCTAAATGACTTACACTGCTTTTTCACTCTCATCCATTGCCGACCACATCCTAACCATCAACTTCTGAAGGTTTTCTTCACTCAGTCCTGGATGAATCTCAGAGGCATGTTTGGAATATTTATCAGCAAAGATACGAAAATCGTATGGTTCTTTCTTCTCGTGCCTTTTTCGTTTCTTCGGTCTTTCACTTGAAGCATTTACAATTCTTTCACTAATTTCTTTTTCTTCTTTGATTTTAATTGCATTACTTTCAGGATCAACTTTTATCTACAAAACATAATTCTCATCAGTTTACAAAGCACATCAACAATAATAGTAATACTACCTTGAAATAAGTTATTCACACCTGTTTACGAGGTTTATCATCTCCACTGATGCTATTCCTCTTTCTTTTGAAAGTCTTTGATTGTTTTTTCTCTCCATCTGCTGTGTTAGCATCATCTTTTGTACCCTGATTTTCATCATTTATTTCTGGGGGGAAGTTTTCTTCAAAAAACTTTATTCTTTCTTGACTAAATACACAAAGAACACATGGACATTTTTTAAACCAAATAAAAGGTAAAAAAAAGTTGACAAATTAAAAACAACATAGGTAAAAGAAAAAATCAATATTTTGAAAGATAGAATAAGCAGTATAATTTTGTAAGGGAAAAAATTGAATGTCAATGTTATATTTGATCATCTTAATGGCCAGAAATTTATTGAAGACAATAAATTTTGAATTGAGATTTTACATTCCATGTACACAAATTAGAACAGGGGAAAAAAGAAGAATGCAAAAAGATAAAGGACATGCTTACTTCGTTTTAGGTAATGCCTCTTCTGCTTCCTGGACTGCACAATCCCACTGAACCTTTGATGATGGTCTTATTGAAAATGCAGAGGAAAATTTTTTGTCCTTTTTCTTTATCTGAAATTATGTATTAGCACAAAATTAAGGGCACAAATGCTACCTAAAATACCTCACAGAAATATGTTTTATCACAAACCTCTGATAACACTTTTTCAGCAAAACTCTGAAGGCCATTTTTCCCTTCGAATTTTATAACACAATTGGTGGTAACCCAGCTATGTCGTCCATTATCTCCAAAAAACTGGACATGTAAACTCCTTTGCACAGAAGACAAACCACGTCCCACTCCTAAAGATATTTTGTAATGTCTTACTAAAAGTTAATTAACATAATCAAAACATTCTTTAAGGGATAAAAAACATGCCTAAAAAAACTTACTTTTGATTTTTGTGTACACAGCACTGTGGGGATCAACTGCTATCATGCAAGGCCAGAATGGATGACCACCTACACGAGCCCAAGCTAAGTCTCCTGGTACCCATCCACAATCTGACCCTATTTTGATCTGAACAAGAGAATCTCCTAGTCTTTCAGATAAAATATTATCATCAACTGATGAGGTGACATCTGGACTCATAATTTCATGGTCTACTTCATTTTCTCCCTTATTAACTATGTTGCTTTTCTCAACTTCCACCTGTGTCTGATGGTTATCTTTGGCTTTCTCACTTGTGGAGACTTCAGATTTAACCTCAAGTGTTTTTTCACAAAGCGATTCATTTCTCTTTTCCTCAAGTTTCTTTTCTAAATGTGAGGAATTGCTCAATTTCAATTTAGGTTTTCTACCTCTAGTTGATTTTCTTTCTTCCTTGAATAATTCATGTATAATTCTTCCTTTCTCTACTGCTTTATTAGGAGAAGTTGAAGATCGAGATGAATCATGAGCAAGTGATAATCTTGATTTGGGGCTTAAACCAAGTATTGCTCCAACTTTTTTATCTGTTGGAAGAAAATCTTCTGATATTTTTGGCTTATGAGTTCGACCATATCGACTCACAGCAGGACTAGTTTCAGAACTTTTTTCAACTTTGTCAGTTAAACATTCATTTCCATCTTGTATTGATGGAGTACAAGTGGATAACTCTTTGCTATGTTGATCTGATACCTTGCTAATATTTTTCATTTTTGCAGTTTTCTCACTGGTAACAAAATCAAATAAAATCAGGTTTTAAATCTCCTTTCCAAAAGATCTTAGTATTATGATACATTATTCACTAAACAGTAAAATTGAAAGACAATACTTTTTTATCTACTTTTCGTTCTTGCGGTTCATTTATCTTTGCATTGAAGTTATGTACCTCAATTACGCTTGTTTTTATTAACTTAACCGATGCAGTCGAGGTTTATCGCGCCTAAGTACACTAAAATATGAAAGGTTATGGCAAAATGAACATACCGAGAAAAATTAAGGTCTTACAATTAATATGAACTCAGATATTAAACGGCGAAATAATACAATAAACTTGTTCCCAAAAACGTGTGTGAAAATAAAACACTAAATTCAACTTCTTTTTCTCTAACAAGTAATTCATATCAACCAATATCATTATTTTCTATTTAATATTAAATTCCATGATTTTTTTAAAAAAAACACACTTAATATCCTTCCTTCAATCTACTTCAAAGGCTATTCGTATCTACTCATTCAAAAGTACAAACAAATGTTCTGTACTTACCTAGTTCTGCGTTCAAAACATTTACTTTCACTAAACTTCCCTTCACAACTCAGCAGCTCACCTCAGTAAAGCCCCCATACAACAAACATACATACACACACATACATAAAAGCCAAGCCAAGCCAAGCTGGGCGCGCTGGGGCGGACCACGAGCTGGCCTCAAAGAGGCAACCTCAGGCCTGAACCACCACCATTACTTTCCCGCGTAATTTTGTTGTATTTTTATTGGAGAATTCAAAACATTATAGTGTTCATTGAAGAATTGTTCGCACGATTCGAGTACGTTTACAATAAAATGAAAATTCATTGATCAATTTACAGTAACTTGAAGAATAAATTGTCGTTCAAATATTGCTCGAAATACAATTAATACTAGTTTCTCGTCCGAAAGTATCCTACATTTGGAGTGGGTGTCCATAAGCACGAAATCCTTAAAATTCAATTATGCGGGTCGCATGCGCAACTCTGTAGTTGGCGGTGTAAATGAGATTTCTCTATTTATTTTAAATAATTCATCTAATTCTTTCTTACTTTCAATGAGGTCGGGAAATGAATGGTATGGTTAACAAGAATAGAAATACAAATACTAAAATAACTTTATTCATTACAGGACATACATAAAAAGAAACCTCTGATTTTCTCATGAAAAACATTCGAATCAGTGCTTCTAGATACTTTTCCTAAATTTACAGTTTAGTTTGTTTTTACACAAAATTTTATGTTAATTTTAAATTAATTGACAGGAAAAACAATTCAACCCAGTCATCAAGAAGGAATAATTGTAGTCAATACATTTTTCTCTCATAAACTATACAACCATAAGTCTTGGAGCAATGTTCATTGCCATTAATTCTTGAAACAGAAGTTTTGCAGCATACGGCAATCTTACTTGTGATATCTGAAAATGAAGAGTTGACTCTGGTTTTGAAATTTCTCAAGTACAGCAAATTATTTCAATAATGTTTAATGTGCAATATTTAAACACTCACTTACCTGGGTTTTATTTTTACAACCTTTACATTCAAAAGTATTGTTACGTAAATTTGCGATTGCAATGAGGCCACAGAAATTACACACATGTATTCTATAAGGATCTGAAACTTCAAACAGTCTTTCTCGCAAGAATTGTGCTGCTCCATGAGCAATCTGACAGTCACGCTCCATTTCTCCAAAACGTAAACCTCCATCCCTAAAAGAGAAAGAAAAATTCTCAAGATGTTATACAATCCTTCTCTTCTGAAGAATTGATTAATACACTTCACATTTGTGAATGCTTGCTTACAGGATTTTTATTTATTCAAAAGAAAAGAAAACATAAAAACTATGTTCTTATCTAAATTACTCTGGAAAGCACAACGCGGTAAGATTATTAATTATAAGGGATCACAAACTCTACAACCATACATCAGAACTCTTCTAAAAACTTACCTAGCTCTTCCTTCCATAGGCTGCCTCACCAATATCTGAACAGGCCCTCTGGCACGACTATGGATTTTGTCATCCACCATGTGTTTCAATCTTTGATAGTAAGTGGGTCCCAAAAATATTTGAGCATTAATTTTACGGCCAGTGTGTCCATTGTACATTACTTCATTGCCTCGAAGTTGATAACCATATTCTTGCAAAAGAGTAGATATTTTCTGCACATTTACTGCATCATTAAAAGGAGTTGCATCCCCAATTTCTCCTTTATTAGATGACACCTATAATAGGACAGCCAGATTAGATATTTCATTCCCAAATATGTATGATGTAAAAATAAGTAATAACACAGTACCTTGCCCTGAAGGCATTCAATTAAATGGCCAATTGTCATACGAGATGGAATAGCATGGGGGTTAATGATGATATCTGGAGTAAGACCTTCACAGGTGAATGGCATATCCTTAAATATGAAATAACAGCTACATTAATTCATTAATGTTTGGTAACAATACCATCATTACCACTAAAAACTAAAATAATTTTAAAAAAAGCATGTTTGCAAAGTCTAATTAACTCACTTCTTGCCTGTACTGAATACCACATGTTCCTTTCTGGCCATGTCTTGATGCAAATTTGTCTCCTATTTGAGGAATTCTGACTGACCGGACACGAATTTTACAGAATTTATAACCTTCTGAATTTAGGGTCAACATAACTTGATCTACAATACCAGTTTCACTGTTTCGGAGAAAAGTGCTTGCATCTCTTTTGGTATACCGTTTTGTTGTCCCTTCCAGCTAGAATAAAAACAATAATACATATTGGAGAAAAGCAGATATATTATAATGGAAAAATAAATACAGACATATTCACTAGATATTCTTACAACTATTACTGATAATATTTTAGTCTGAATATAACAATAATAGTATTGTAATTATTACCTCATCTTCATTGTCAGGAAGTGTAATTGTTTTACCTATTACTACATCATCACCAGATACTCTAATCCCAGGTGAAATAATTCCGTCATCATCTAATTTGTCATACAGGGCATTCCTCATACCCTACAAACACAGACAATTTTAATAAAACTTCATAATGTACCATCATATTTTCTACACAAACAGGGGCATTGTTCTGAATAAATACCTGACATGTTTGTCTTGTAGGCTTTTCAAATTGTTCTTCTTGATCTCCAATTCTCTTAGACTCAGCATCTTTGTATGATCGGAAAAACACAGACCTACACAAAACAATTCAAATTCATGAAGGAGGGCACTCCAATAAAAAATATTTTCAAGATTGTACCGAATTTACCCAAATATAACATTTTACAAGGTATTTTTTTAATATTTTATTTGAAAATTCGCCGTCTCTTTATGTTTGCAGATTAAGTTTATTCACCTGGGATCTGTGTTTTTAAATGACAGTGCCTTTTCATACCAGAAAACTCAAATGCTGATGTGCCTTCTAATAAAGCAGGCCTTTCTATAATATCTAATTATATTCATGGACATATTCTTGCTATCCTCTGCAGATTTGCTTGGTTATTTAAACCAATATTATTAAACAGGCTGGTAAAGAGAGATTTTCAAAGTGCATTGCAGTTAGTGAAATGCAACATGAAAATGAATAAAATCATTGCTGAGATTTTGTTTCTGAATGAGGTTGTTTGACTTCCGATTGTTGCTGAGAATCTGCGATTTGCAAGAAATCAAAATGAAAAAATTCACTACATTCAAAGTACACTTTCAACATCCTACCCAGTGCCATAATGATTTAAAGCAAAAAATTCCCAAATGTTGGAAACTGCTTTCTCCTGCAGAGTTTAAGTATGGAGATGCAAGTTCTCACATCTTACAACTCAATAAAGCAAACATTAAACTAAGTGAAACTACGTATCTCTACATATATTATGTACAGGTAAATACGGAATCTACTAGAAAGACAGGAAAATCATTTCTACACTGAGGATGTTGTTGTTGTTGTTGTTGATGATGATGATGATGATGATGATGATGATGATGATGAAGAGGAGGAGAAGGAGGAGGAGGAGGAAGAAGAGGAGGGAAAAGAAAAAGAGGGAGAAGAGGAAGATGAAGAAGAGTAGGAAGAAGAGGAAGAGAAAGAGGAGGAAGAAGAGGATGAGGATGTTGATGTTCTTAACAAATAAAACAGAGTCAACACAAATGCAACTCAAGTGTTTAATGTTATGAACTAGCAGCACTCTATAATATTATAATACTACACAAACCTACAAAAACGTTTCCAACCAACAAAAATGTTTACTCCGTGTTGGGATTCAAACTTAGGTTTACGAATTAGCATGCCTATCTGCCAGCTTTTAAAAACGCACCGAATTTGCTGAAAATGGCACATGCAGAGGTTTTTTTAAGCCCCTTATAACACTATGAAGAAAAATAATGCAAAAAACTTAGCAGTTTTCAACAATTAAGAAAAAATAAAATAAAACCCTCCAATTTTAAGCAAAAATTACCTGAAAACTTCTCAACTAGCTCTATTCTATAATATTATAAATTTTAAAACGAAATTGTAAACTACACATTGACTGCTACAATTTAAATTTAATGTTGTCTGAAAACTCCTTTACTTCTTTTCAGAAACAAAACTGCACTGCATTTGAAGGAGCATAGTTTTTGTAAAAGACTATGTTCTAACATCTCACTTTATGACAGTGCAATATTCAGACAGTTGCACGTTTACTGAGGATAGAACGCTAAATTATTTAGAAACCCAGTTCCTAAGATAAATTTTTGGGGGTTTCCTTCTAATTCTTCAGTGTTTCTATAATTGTTTTCTTATCTTTCTTATTTTAATTTTTCCTGCATCTTTTTCCCCATTGCAAAAATTTTTTCTTGCTAGGCCATTGAGAGGAACTATGGACCCCATGCCTCCCTCACTCCTGGATGGCATGGTCTTATAAAAGTCATACCTGAAGAATCCTCTCTCTACTGCAGAAGCATTCATAATAACACTGTCTTCTTGGTTGTAACCAGTGTAGCAAAGAATTGCCACAATGGAATTAATGCCAGCTGGAAGTTCACGGAAACGTAAATATTCCATAGAGCGTGTAGTTACCAAAGGTTTATGAGGATAGTATAAGACATGTGCCAATGTGTCCATCCGTACGTGGAAATTGGTAATGTATACTCCCATAGCTTGTTTTCCCATAGCACTCTACAAGAGAAATATTTAAAACAAAAATTATTATTTGGAGAAAAAAAATCTTAATTTATCCTGAATGTTGTAATTTTTCAGAATTGAGAGATTGGATTTGTTGGTTGGGACAAAAAATGTACAATAATGAAAAAAAATCAACTAAATGATCAGAAATCATCTTAGACCAAAATAATTCAATAGCAAGATGTTCAAGATGACAAGATATTCATTTGATACTTTGTGAGTGCACAAGAAAAGTGACATCTCAAAAATTAATCATTTTCCAGAAGGGTTTTGATTTGTTTCGCAGCCAAAGATACAGAATCTCACACTAAATATTGACTATCTTCTGAACCATCATTTTGGAATTTTTACTATTACTACTACTAATTTTTACTATAAAAAAATGACTATTTCTTACACATATTCCTTCGCTAAACTATAAAAATTGTGATAATATTGATGTGTCATGTTTTCTTCTACACTTCTTATATATTTGACACAGAAAGAAGCTCATTAGGTTTGACATCAAACAAATATTTATGGTCCAAAGAGAACAATTTAGTTTAAAACACACGATTGGCATGCTTACAATGGACAATTTCATAAAAATCATATCCAAATTGATAAATTCAGTGCTGGAATTGGTTATACTTTAGAGACAATTACATACCTATTACAATCATTCTCACAGAGTTTTGGCAGGTAAGAAAGTAACATGGAGGCAATGGAAGTTCATTTTGAGAATTCCAAAATAAGGGCCATCATCAAGTTTCCTCCTAGACCAGAAAAACACCCACTTAACCCATAAAATTAGGTCAGAGAGTAATTCTTGATCAAGGAGTCAATAGTCAAGAAGGTTCATCAGCAACAGCTCATGGTACATTTTACAGGACTAATTAATTTTGTCAAGTCTGACAATATCAAAGAAATAAGTTCTGCATATATATAAAGGAAATTCCCTCTGCAAAATCAGGGCCAAACCTTATCATAGAAGTCAAAAATTAAATTCGACATGAGTGGGTAACATTTAATTTGAAGTGAGAGTAGTGTGGTAGGTCAAGTGAGTTATCATTAGAAATATTAACTTACGTGCAAAGTGCAAAATTATATGTATCTATAAAAGAAAATGACTGAAATATCTATGCTGACATACATATTTCCATATTATTGACAGCATAATAAAATTTCCCCCAAAGTTTATTTATGCAAGTAATTAAGAAACATTTAAAATTAAGTTCAAACTCCACTGAATTTTACAATAGTTCAAACATTTGTTGGGTTATTTGCAAAATTTGGGAAAGTGGAGATTGACATTCCAAATTTTAAGGGCTGTAATTACAATGAAGTCTCAAAACTGGACAAACACTTTAACTATGAAAATTGCTTGGTTAAGAACGATTTAAGAAAACCAGCAGTCCGGCCAGTACGGCTGGCGTACTAGCTTCCCCTCGCCCCACATGTGGCCGGAAGCGGAGAACGACATCCATAGAGGAGACTGGCATTTAACAATTATGTTGGAAATACAACAATGTTGAAAATCGTATGGAATACAAGGCAGTTTTTTGTGGAAGGGGGACGGGTTCTTGCTGTCGAAAGTTTATTTTCTAGATAATATTTTAATTGAAAAATAACAGTGGTAAGTTTACACATTTTGAAAGTCTTAATTTTGAGACTTCTAATGTATGATTTGAAAACATAAAATATAATTTCTAAGGACATGTTCAAATTATTAGACTAAAGGCACTTTTCATTAAAGATTTGCATTTATTACACATTTAAATACGTGTACATGTTACAGTCAAATATTTAATACTTACTCTTAGTATGCATGCCTTTGTTCTTAATAAAAAACTTTACCCTGTTTGGCATAATGTTTACCAACTTTTCACCTGAGTTTTTAATTTCATCGGTGTGGTACCAAATCTCTTCTCGTTTGTCCACGACTTCTTGTATATTTCCTTATTTTTCTCTTGGTAATATCTCAAATTTTCTATGAGGTTCAAGTCAAAGCTATTCCGTGAGCATGGAAACACTTTAAATTGTTTTTCTTCCAAATTCTTGAAGACACTTTAATCTGTGGCACTGTACTTCATCATGCATAAAAATGCCATCGTCATTAGGGAACCACTCTAATTTGGGGAAAAGTTCAAGGGTTTTCTTTGTATTGGTATTGCCTCATTGTCCCTTCAACAATGTGCAATATGCCAGGTCCTTTCACAGACATCACACTTAACAGCATTTCTCTCCAATTATATTATGGAACTTTGAAAATATATGCTTTAGTCTAATAATTTGAACACATCTGTGAAATTAAAAATATGATAGGGAGTATTTTGGAAAAGAGTTTTGGAAAGTACGAGCAACATTTTCTAAGTTCTGGGATCCCTACAGGTTTATATACAGGTTAAAATGAGGGTTTTTCTAAGAATTGAGAAGAAAATATTCACTCCCATGTAATAAAAACTAGTATTTGCAAGGACAAATCAGCTGTTATCCTTCATTGTGCCCTTTGTAAAGCACATGACTTACTGCCATTAGATCATGAAGGATAATTTAAGTACATTCCCCAATACCCTCAAGAAATCATGCAAAGATAGTGATGTTATATATTAATGCTCAGAAGCAAAACAAGGGGCCATCTCAGCATTCACTTAAAGGATCAGGGAAACTGCACAAAAAACAGATTGAGATTGTGGTCATTGATCTAGAAGTTCTAGGTCTAGAAGATCTAGGTGTTTCAACCTGATTTTTTTCCCATATGTTTGAAGAATGCTACTATCCGTGTGCCTGGTTACTACATAACTTTCAGTGGAACTACTTATCTTAAAGTGTAAGTTAACTAATTTGTTCTATTGCACAAATTTGTTTTGCTTCAGCTAATAATTTGTGCTGAAATAATATCAGTTAATAAATATAATTCAAGTTTGAGTTCAAATTAGAAAGAGAGTGGTAAATAAGGTTATTAGTACAATTTACCTTTTTTCTTGGTTCTAATCAACACCAACAAAATTTTACAATTTAATGTACCTGATAGGTGTTCCTCGGACTTTGATTATGATCAGGAAATGGAATAATTGAAGCACAAACTCCTAATATCATAGCTGGATGAATCTCACAATGAGTGTATGTCATACAATAAGCATATTCTTTCTCTTGTCTAAGGTCATCAGGAGACATTGCAATCATCACTGTTTCTTCTTCCAAAGTATCAATATACTCTACTACTCCACTTGCAACAAGCACTTGCCACCTGAAAAACATTCTCATGATAAATACATTTTTAAACATTATTTATATAACAGCATTATTTGATATAACATGAGCTGACTTCCATAATTAAGTATATAGTTTGTATTTTACATCATAATTTGAAATTCTCTTGTTGTAATGTCTGTTATACATGTAAGTCTTCAACCTTTATTATAATGATGATTTTATATAGAATATACAGCAATATTTACCCAAAATTATTGTATTCTCGTTCTTTCAACATATCAATGTGCCTTTTCTTAAGAAGCAAATTGCCATTTTCAACAATCAGCAAAGGACGACAAATGCGGCCAGCATCTGTGTAAATTCTAATTTCTCTGTCACGAATATCTCTTATCATGGACACTTCACTGACAATAATATCCATTTGACGTCTTAGTTTACGAAGTGTAGCCATAAGTTGCTCTGGATCACGGTGAATACCAACCTAAAACACCATTGCTCGATTATCAAACAAAACTGAGATGAGCATTTTTCAAAAAACTGTACAAATACTAATAAAATTACACATTTCACCAAACTTCCCACACTTAATGGCATATTCTCCCTTTAACTGTTTCATTTCTCATACAATGTTTGTCAACATAACAATTTGACAACAAATTTGACAATTTGAAAACAGTGTAATTATCTAAAAAAATAAATTGATAAAATGCAAAGCACAGAACGTTCTTGATCACAGCTTGCCACCTTACCACGGAGGAGCGGAAAGCATGCACCAGAATGCATCTCACAATCAAGACTCTGTTTTCAAACATAATACTTATCACCCAAAATGTAATATATATAAAAAAAAGTGAATTTCTATAGAAGTGTACTGCACTTCCTAATTTCAATTATTTCTCACGGAAAACTATATTTTTGTTGCACAAGAACATCACAAAATGAAGCATCAAAGCCATTTGCAAGTTAGCCAACTGCAAACAAATTAATGAAGGAAGGGGAGAGAAATGGGTTGAAGGATGAAAGGGCCTCAGAACTTCAGTTATGTTGCCAGCACTAGGTGTCAAAACAGTCCATTCTTATAAAATATGCTCTACATAAATTGTGTTGTGCTGTTATGATTTTGTAAGTTAATTATTACATTGTCAAAAGGGGAACAAATGGGTTCTTGAGATTATCAATTTGAACACCAAGAAGGGGCACTTAAGAGATTTGCCCAAGAAATCATAGGAATGCATTGCTCCCTAAGATCCTGGAGCATGTGAAACAAGCAACAATTATGGCTCGTTCATGGCATGGATACAATGGGCCCCCTCAACAGAATTAGCCATAGGACTATACGTCATTATTTACAATTTGTGGACCCTACTACAGCAAACACATCTGTACATACTCGAATATAAGACAAGACTTATTCCTAAATATCCCATTCGAAAAACCCAGTAGTCTTATATTCACGATTAAGCCTAGTTGATTACGATTTATGTTTTTACGTGGCCGTTCCATATCACAAAGCACGTAAATATTGACAAAAAAGCTATGACTACTATAAAAACATCACATGAATATATATGTAATTATATAGGACATATTCTCGGCCTACATCATGGATTTGCCAACAATTCCTACTGATATTTTTGAATGAGCTGTTAAAAAGAGATACTTAAACGAATGGCATTCTATCAAGTGAAAAGCAATGAGAAAATTATTATATAACATTGCATACACTCATGCTTTAATAAGGCTACGACTCTCAGTTCATCACCCAGCGAGTGCAAAACTGTGTTTTGTAAAAGATAGAAATGAAAAAATTCACAGATAGGATTCTACATCAAAACTCAGAAAGGGAAAATAAAAAAATATTTTTTTCACAAAAACTTCTCAAAACTTGAAAACTTGCTGTTATCTCTCATGTTACCCGTAAAATGAAGGAGCAGAGATTTAAGAGTTCACAGTTCTCAACTTGATTACATGAACAATAAACAATGCGAATAAGCATACTCTGTTAAAGAATCAGAGGACATAAACACGTGGGCAGGAGGAATATCTGTTGAGCCAGAAGAAAACATTATTAGGTGGCATCTTATGATAGTCAAAGAATGCAAATTCAATGCACAAAACTTTCAGAGGTTCCTAAACAGAGGGTGTTTCAGTTCGGAAGGACCCAAAAGAAAGGAACAATGATACATGTGAAGATGAAGAGGGTAGTGACAAAAACCATGATTATGATGATGTTAAGGATCAAGAAAATAGTGATAGCGCCGTGCATAAGTTTTAACATTCTCATCATCTAGCCAATTAGACAATTTTATTTTCACTCAATTTACTCAGAATATAATACACTCGGAATTAGTTTAAATTTCTTTTAAATCTCTGGAGATCTCTTTAAAATCAAAGGATCACCTTCAGAGACCTCAGAGTCAACTTATATTTGGGTCAATATGTTAATTTGATTGAGCCAGTGGTGTCCTTCATACCATTGACTTACTTGTAGAGGTACCTGGTTCACAGATTTAGAAGTATAACTATCTGAATATTTGTTCAGGAAATATTGTGCAAAGTTAGGTAGGAACACCATTTTCGAATTTCAAAGATGGCAGTAATGTATGTTACCTGTTTGTGAAATTCAACTATAAAAATTAAGCAGTGTTGGAATATACAAATAATATTCTGCCAGCAATGTTTTATTCAAATAAGTTCCCATCCCTGCCTCTGGATGAGGAAAGACAAAAAAATAATTCACAAGCAAGTACAATAACCAAAGAACATACAAACATTATTTTAATAACATTACATAAAGATGTTCATACCCAACATCCATTCACAAAGATTTTTGTAGCATCAGCAATAGCTGATGGTGCAATTTCTTCCAAGTTTTCCATACTCCATTCTTCCAAGAACTCAAGAATTGGTGATGGTTGGGATCCAACAGATATGTAAGCCATTAAGGCTAGATTTTTCACCAAACCTAGTGAGAGCAAAAATTATTATGATAAAAATAATTGCCCAACTGAAGAAAATAAAATCATTACGTTTATCACTCACCTACAGCAGCCCCTTCAGGAGTTTCTGCCGGGCAAATCATACCCCACAGTGTATTATGCAACTGACGAGGTTTTGCTAGTTTGCCATCTCTTCCTATAGGAGAATTCACTCGCCGGAGATGAGAAAGAGTAGAAGCAAAAGTAAGACGGTTCAATACCTATTGACAGTTCATAGAATTAGATTCATACAAAACTTCAATTCTCTCTCTTTTTTGCCTCAACATCAAAATATTTTCATTTCTTCTATATAAAAAGTTCAAATTTCAAGTTATATAATGTAAATTATTTTACCTGAGATACACCAGCACGAGCTTGGTGAGCTTTCTTTTGGTCACCCCAATTACCAGTGGCCAAAGAGTATCTTAAACCATCAGTAATAATTTTAGTTTTAATAGCAAGCTCGAGGTTGAAGTCTTTTCCTCTGTCAATAAATTTTTGGGCATACATTCGCACCTCTTTCATCAAATTCTTAAAAAGCCTTAAAAACACAATGGTTACACTTAAAATTACTACACATACAAAAATAATTCCAGATTCCTTCCTTTCTTCAGAAAAGTACATTCAAATAAATCTAACATCCTATTTTTAATGAAACAGAAAACACTCACTTTTATCATGAATTATGTACGTTAATCATAAAATTGGCAAAAAAAAAATAAAAGAAAAAAACACACCTCTTCCCCCCCCCAAAAAAAAAGTTTCGTAGTTTATTCTGTGTATAGAAAAGAGAAGATTAACAGTTCTTACCCCCTAAATAAGAAGGCTAATAGTGGACCAGCAAGATCAAGTCTCTTATTACCATAATGATCTCTGTCATCTAATTCTCTACGCCCCAAAGCTGCCAATAGCAACCTATGGACCATGTACCTAAAACAAACCAAAAAAACATTATTTACTAATATAGATTTTGATGGTGTATAATGCGATTGTAAAAAAACGTTTCCTTTATAATATTCTCACCCCAAAAAGTAAGCTTTTTTTGTTTCACAAAAATCAGAAACACCAACGTGAGGTAACATTTCTTTCTGCAGAATTTCACGAGCATATTTAATACGTTTTTCTTTAGTGACGCCAGGGCGAGCACCCCTTGCTCCAATGAAGTTTAAAGCCACATTTTGTTCTTGAATGACAAATGCTTCATCCAAAGAAGGTTTTACCTATAATTTCAATTCTCTAATTATGTTAGGTATCATATCTTCCCAAACACCAGTTTAAAAAAGTCAGCACGATAATAAACATCAAAATATAACTAATACAAACCATTTCCATCATTTCAGGATCATCAAAATCATAAATAATATGTTCTAAAATATCTCTGTCAGCCACAAAACCTAGAGCTCGGAAAACAATCATAATAGGAATTTCTTGCTTAATGTATGGTAGAACAGCAATTATACGTTGCCCAATTGCTGATTTTTTAATACTCTAAAACATAAAATAATAATAATAATAATAATTATTATTATTATAATAAAAAAAAAATTATATTCACCTTTCTCAAATACATATATTGACAGTTCACAAGAAAACTGAAACCTCAAAGAGACTTGTTTTGCAAAAATGTTTCAAAAATAGTCCATTTTTATTCATAAAAAGTCTGTAGTTACTCAGTAAGTCACTTTGTCAATAGCTGCAAAATGAACAGTTTTGCTCATGAAACTATTCTCCAACAAAATGACAATTTTTGAGATTTGTTACTTTTCTTATGCAATGCCATTATCTCTATCCCAATCACTTCAGAATTAACAGAATAAAAATTCCATTAATTAGACCCACCTGGCCACCCCTTGCCATCATATTAACCCATAACGTTGATGTTGGCCGAGAAGAATGCTCAAGACAAGATCGAATTTCAGCTTTATATGCATATTTTCCATCTTTCATACTAAACACATACACTGTATTTGTAGCCATTTTTTCTTGAGCAATAAGCACCTGTAAAAGATAAATAAATACAAGGAACAAGAAGCTGACAAGTCACAGAGCTGAAGGCACTTTTAACAATTACAGGAAAATTACAGCATTTGACACTTACTTACTCCTTAATGGCATAGCATCTATGAAAGAACACAAAAAATACCAAAAGCATGAAAAACATTTTTTTTTTTAAATTTAATTTATATTTAAAATGTAAACAAAAAAATCTTGAAATACATTGCATGTGGACATTTAACATACAAAATTAACTCCATAAGTGACCACATTACATTATCACTTTACCTTCTCGGATCCATTGATGATAAAATATCCTCCTGGATCAAGAGGACATTCATTTAACTCAGTTAAGTCACGGTCTGTTAACCCATTCAGAAGACAGTATGTAGATCGTAACATAATGGGAATTTTTCCTAAACAAAAAAGATAGCTATTACAAGCTTAAAGTTCTATAATTAAAATTCTATTGTACTATCCATTAATACAATATCTATGAAAGTGGAAAAGCCAAGTTTATCGTAATAAAAACCCAAACCATTTATTTCAGCTCTCTTCTCTTCTAAACAGGCTCTTGCCCTCCAAACTTGTGCACTTCTGATTAAAACAGGTTAAGGCAAGACTTTGGTAAGGCGTAACTCTATTTGATTCTCTAATAAAAATGTAGACAAATAGTGAAGAAGAGGTGCATAGTAGTTACTTTCATTAAATAAATCTTACAGTACTTTGGACTCGGTACATTGTGCTCAATGTTGTATTACTGTTAACTCTGACATGCATTTGAATTTCTGTCATCAGTGCCATGCGGTCAGTGACACCACATCAATTTTAGAGATATTATTTCCAGTGTTTAATTTCATGTTCATTTAAAATTTTTGTTCACAATAATGGTCAAATTATCCATTAATAAAAAACAAGGAAAATCATCATTCAACTGCTGCTGTATTGACTCTTTCACAACAATTTGTGTCAGTTTTTTTTTTATAAGAAATACCCAACACTTGTTGAAATTATTACGATATTAATCTCATTTTATTCTTTGTCCTACTCCTTTGCTGTTATTTTATCTAATACTTCTACTTCCCGTCTATTTCATCATTTTGTTCTTCATATACTTCCTTTTCCATAGTATTGTTTGCTTTCAAAGGCAAAATCATGGTCCACCTCACTGTCAATACTACTAGCAATTTCCTTTATCAAATGATTAACTGTATCATCGAAAATAGGATACCCAGGAAACACATTCCGAGATCATCCAGCAGATTTGCACAAGTATTTGTTGTGGTGATAAGGAGTGTTGTGAAGTACTGGTGAAACATGGTGACTGTCCCTCAAAGATTAATGGATGCCACAATTGTAAATGTTTAGGAGATAAGTTCATATAAACAAAAACTTCCTGTGAAGTGCCAGAAAAGAGGGCTATGCATTAATTTTTCCTCAATGGTCTCAGACACCGCATGTCACCAGTTAACAGTTAAAAGTAATTATGGTTTTACTTTACTAGCTTTTCACATGTACACATGAAAATCAATAAGAGAAACCAATCCTCCTCATTCTCAATGTTCGCTTCTCTTAAACAAGGAAGTTGATTTTCAGATTTATAGTCCATAAATTAATAACGCAATCTATATTTAGAAAATATTTACCTATAAAGGTTTTCTGATGTTGGGTTTCAATAGGTTCTTCCCCATCTTTTATTATGGTTTTAGTAATATCAACATACAAAGGAGCAGAATATGTGAGATTTCTAAGTCGAGCTTCATTTGGCATCATAGGGGAAGGAGCACCATCCTTTTCCCAATGTGTTGGCTTTGACAAATAAATTTGTTCAAATTTCAGCAAATACCTTGGCTGTAAACAATAAAAGCACACTAAATTAAAAACAAAATTTATTGACAGATTTAAATATTCTTTCTTATTACTATATGCAACACCTACAGGATTTTCAATTTCACCAGATGTATGTTGAGCTTCAGCTTGAAGATCAATCTGTGGTGAATCCTCCACTATTCGCTGCACTGACATCTGAATGAACTCATCAAAAGAGTCCAGCTGTTGTCGTACCAAACCCTTTTCATCAAAGTATGCATTAATAACAATCCAACAAGCTTCTTGCCAAAGTTCTGATGAAATTTCTTCAACATCCTCTTCATCATATTGATCTGAAAAACCCAAACTTTTTAGGTTTACCATCTCTTCCATTTTTCATTCTAAAAATGGAAGTTGAATGGAAGTTCCTTACCTTCTTCTTCGTACATGATTAAACCTGAAGTTTTTAATACAAACTAAGAACGTCAGAATCCACAAATTTCTGTATGTCGCATTTCTGGCATAAAGACCCTACTGGCAACTATGACTGTAAACGATTATAGAAACTTAATCACTGACACTTAATTTTGTTTAACTTAGCTGAAATTTGGCGTTCACATTTGTTCGTGAATGTATTCAATAGTGCAACACCATAAAAATATTTCTAGCAAGAGCAAAACTTTTATTTGGTTGGCCTCAGGATAGCTAGAATAACAGAGCACCACTTCTTGTTGGTCTCGTGCTAGAACTCGTGCTAGAACTCTCTTACTCGAACTTATTCTCTTTGGTTCAAACTTTGTTGAACACAACAGAAGTTCTGTTACAGAACAAGACCCACCACCCCCTTCCGTTCTGTTGGCCGTTTACACTTGGGTTTTTATGTCTTGGCGCGTGAAGGCTAACTTTTACGAAGGAATCTCACGTTATTTCGCATCTTTCTCGGTCGTATCGCTAGATGTCGCATGAGCGCCAGCACTGCTCGACACCATAGAGAAGAGATATATCTCTACTCTATGCTCGATACGGTCGCAATGCGACATCTAGCGGCAAGCACGAAAAAGACGCGAAATACCATGAGATATTCCATCGTGATGGAAGGCCTTCACGCGCGCGCGCAAAAAAATAAAATAATAGTAATAATAATAACAATAATAATGATATAAAATTTCTAGTATATAAGATTTTTACATCTGTGCTAGCCAATATGCTGTATACCTATCTAAAGGCCAATAATCTTCTGGCACCAGAGCAAAATGGTTGGAGAAAGGTTGCAAAGAATTATTGATAGTAGACAGTGACTGTAGTCAATCAAGTTAAAAAGAGACACCGCAACATTTCTGTAGGATGGATTGATTATACCAAGGCCTTCGACTCGATACCTCATTCGTGGCTTTTGTATGTGCTTCGTCTCTACAAAGTAAATTACCAGTAAGTGAACTTAATCGAACACTGCATGGCAACTTGGCGTCATAAAAGTTTCATTCGCTGGAGGCAGCTATACCACCAAGGAACTGAGGATCAAACGAGGGATTTTTCAGGGAGATAGTCTTAGTCCCTTATGGTTCTCGCTAGCTCTAAACCCTCTCAGCAGAATGTTAAGAGATTCAGGGATGGGATATGAAATCACCAAAAATCCCCATATCCTCATTAATCATCAGTTCTACATGGACGATTTCAAGTTGTACGCCAGAGATAAGAACCAGCTTTCCTCGTTGCTTGAACTTGTTAAACCCTTTAGCGACTCTATTTGTATGGAGTTTGTCATTGATAAATGTGCTGCAGTGCACGTGAAAAGAGGGAAACTCCTTGATCCTGACAAATTGATCCTGATGTGTGGCACAAATGTCCAAGAACTTGGGCAAGAGGATATATAGTTGCCTCTGTTGTCGAAAAGAATACCTATAAATATTTAGGCCTGCACCAACTTTTGAGCACTAGTGAATCACAGATGAGGTGTGATATTACAAATAAAGTTGTTCAAAGTGTCAAAAGTCTGTAAAACTCTTTTTAAATGGAAAGAACCTCATATCAGCTATCAACACTTGGGCAGTACCTGTCGCTGTCTTTTCATTTGGTGTTCTTCACTGGACAACAACTGCACTCCACGAGCTTAATCGAAAAGTTAGGACCACTCTTACCAAGTATCGAATGCACCATCCCAACACTTGAATGGCAAGGCTATACTTACCTCGGAACGAAGGAGGTACAGGTCTTCCGGATTTTGAGTACTTGTGCGCGAAGCAAATCAACAATCTTCGCAAATACTTCCTTCAGAAAAAGACGGTCATGCATGAAGCAATTTATGCCACGAGCAAGAATTTTAGTGAAATATTAGTGAATTTTACATGAAAGACCATGTGTCACAAAAGAAAATAGACTGAGTTAGTGGACCCAGAAAAGTTTGCACGGCAGGTATCCTGCTGAGCTCAGAGGAAACGCCGTGAATATGGGATGGACAATCTCCTGGCTAACAAAAACCTGGCTCCTTTGCTGAGACAGAAGGGTTCGACATTTCTATTCAGGACGAGGTAACCTCCACTCGCAATTACCAAAGGTATGTAATTGGGGATATGAGTGTAGATGACCGCTGCCGCCTTTGCAACCAATCCGGCGAAACCCTCAAACACATCATGTTCTGCTTTGGCGCAAACAGAATACCTGAGTCGGCACAACAACGTTGCTGCGGTTGTCCATTGGGCCCTGGCTGGAAATTCGGAGATGATACAGATAGAGGTTCCATACTACAAGTTCAAACCGGATTCAGTTGTGAAGTCGAAACGATGGAAGCTCTTTTGGAATGTAGCAGTCACCACAGATCGCAGGGTCGAAGCCAACAGACCTGACATAATATGGATTGACAAGGCTTCACGGAAAAGGATTTTAGTCGACATAGCTATCCCTTTAGACCGAAATATAGTTGCCTCTGTTGTCGAAAAGAAGCGAAAATATCAGGCCTTGGCTATTGAACTGAGCGACATGTGGCAGTTAGTATCTGCTGAAGTAGTTCCTGTGGTCATCTCTACAAATGGACTCTGAAGAACTAATTTCAATGTCTGCAAGGCTTGGCCTTAAGAACTGACAAATTCAAACAATGCAAAAGGCTGTTCTCCTGAGTACTGCATGCACCGTGAGGAAGTTTTTATTGATATAACTGACCGCCCGAGTTTGCAAGCGAAGCAGGTACCTTGGTTCTACAAAGGTCCCAGTGTCTGCTATAGGCACGTCGCTAAGCGAGAGACTTTAAGAAATAATAATAATAATAATAATAATAATGCACCACTAACCGAAGTTCCAAGAATATCAAGCACGAACTTCAAACGTTTTTTTTTGGGGGGGTTCAGAATAGCTCGGTAGACCAGGGTACCACGGACACAGCGGTGGTCCAGGGCCCCACGGAGGTCCACACACGGTGCCTACGGTGCGCCAACCACAAAAATAGCTGAACCAAATTTTACTATTGATTCTGGTACGGTGAACCGTATTTCAATGCGCGGCAACTTTTTTTTCTTTTTTCCCCAGTATGTGCATAACTGCGGTTCTACCCCGCGGCCAGAATTGGGAAGGAATAAGGATAGGAGAAGGGTTTAAGATACTTCACAGGGGTTGGACTAGCCCTTGTGAAGTAGCCAAATTCGTTTGGTTGGAACAAATTTCACATGAGATTGGCCGAAAATCGAACCCGGACCTCCTTGGTCAAAGACGAGCGACTTCACTTTGAACCCCGAGATGACCTCAAAGTACAGTGCGTGACCTTAGATGACCAGAAAGTGACCTTAAAGTCCTTGAGATCCCAATCTTTAAAACCGAGTAAACGGCCAGTTCCTGCTCAGTTCATAAGGAGTTTGTGCACCCTCGAACGTTAAAGCCCTCTCGATCTTCTGCGCATGCGTAGTTCAAGTTTCGCATCACTTGTGCAGAACTGAAAGAGAAGTGCTCAAAGGAGGCGAAGGCGAAGCTTTGGGAGAGGGGATGCAGACCGCCAATGAGAAGTCCGAGATGAGAGATATACTCGAGGAGTAGAAAAACATTTTTAATACAAGTTTTAAAAGGGCCGACAAAACTGGTGATGCGACGCATTACTCGCAACCATTGAGCCTACGCCACTGGGTCCAGTACCCGGTCGCCGCTGTGTACGATCTTCCTCTATACAGTGGTCGAGCCGCTGTCACGTTACGACAAACTTGCTTCCCAGAGGCCGATCATTCTGCCCCGTTCGAACTCACTCAGAGTTTTATGTACATATTTATTTACATTTACAATACATTATTTACACTCCTATGGAAACCTTTATCGCTGCACCGACTACCGAAGTCGTCCTAGAGTGCTAAAACAAGCCCCGCCCCCGGCCTCTCGTCCCGCGGCGAAAGCCACACCTCGCAAGCCGCGGCTTGCGATTATCCCCTCGAATGACAGTGAACCTCCGCACGATTCGTCCGACTTAATGCCGCCGATACATTCCTCCGCTAGCCTTTTTTGCGAGGAATGACATGACATAGCCCCCACGTAGTAGTCAGTGGCTGCTAGCCACGCGGGCTGTGATCAAATTACGGAGTTTTGGCCCGGGAGCAGACTGCTGAATAGGGCCGGCCGACCATCTGCATGCCGTGTGTCATCACACATCCCCCCTGCGCTGACGCCCGCGGCCCGCACCCACCGAGAGACTCTGGAGGTTTGAGGTTTGCTTGCCGCCAGCCTGGTGCGAGAGGATCAACCCCTCCCCCACGCCTTGTGCGGTCCGACAGAGCAAAATGCCATGAGGTTGCAGTGTACTAGCATTACTTTCACTCTTACTAGAAATTCCAAACGTGAGTATAACCTGAGTAAGTATGAAAAACATCACGTTTTATTGGTAATGACCTTAGGAATTCCAAAATAATACACTTGAAAGGCGACTAGTAATTTTGGGCAACTTCAGAACAAAAAGAAAAATTTGGTTCAATTTCAAAATCTCGTAGCTTTGTTACTATTTACTTGAGAAAAATAATTTATCAAATTTGTAGAGAATTGTATGACTAGATAACAGAGATTTAGGTAAAAACTTTTTTTTTCCTTTCTGGGTACCTTAAACTAAATGAAGTTTTATATTCACATTTTAGGTATATTTGAACTAAAACCTGTAAATTTTAGAGCACCTAAAAGAACCTATTTCAATATTAATGCCTATTTTACTTTTAAAAACCTAAAATAAGACTAATTTGCCTCATTCCTTTTGCCTGTGGCATCTTTTAACTTTCTTTTCTTCTTGGATTGGCACAACAGAGATGATATTAATTTTAAGTTACTTTTAAAAACTCTAATTGCATTCATACCCTTATCTCATTTTGTCTCCTGTATGATGGAGAGAAATAAATACACAGGACAAGGATCCTGCAATGAAAGTCTCCAAGCCTGGAAATAACCTTAGCTTCTAAGATAAAGCGATTGAATTTCCGTGAAACCAATAAGAGATTCATTTTTTATTAAACACTTGGAGAAAGTATTAGTAATTTGCGAGGCAAAATGTGGTACGAATAATTGTACTTAAAGGGCAAACAATTAAACTTCATAAACAGTATTATAACAAAATATACAATACTGATTCTACATAATATTGATTTGTGTTTTTATCTTTGAGACATGGTAAAAACAGTGTGGTTTCCTTCTTTATTTGTGGCTATTTTACCCTTTAAAAGCCTAATTGAGACTCAAAGAATCTATTTTACGCACCTAAAAGCATATTTTAACACCTAAAAATCTGCAGTCTATTTATGATCTTTAAAATTGTACATAACTATTTTTGCGCTAAGATAAACCTTTATAACGCACAAAAATAAATGCCCCATTGGGGGGGGGGCTACCAAAACTTAACAGGGTTGTCTTACTAATAGCAATATAAACAAAATAAAAAATAATATCTACCTCTCCTTTTGCAAGGTGGACCCCTTTATAGCTCCCCATCAACTGCACTATTAGGGAAAGATTTATCCACTTTTTGTTATCAGGTCCTGGCAATAAATTTTTTTGTCAAAAACTCATCATTTTCCCCTGCAGCTTTACGATACTTACAATACTGCGTTAGCAATAGCGAGTAAGTTAAAAAAAAAAACAGTAAAAATTGCAGATTTCAAAAGTTAAAAGGGTAGAGAGCAAAGAAAACCCACCACTATCACCACCACCACCACCACCACTACCAACAACAACAACAACAACAACCAGCAACAAGCGAAGACTTGAGGCATAGCACGCCAACTTCACTTTCAGGAGGCCCGGGTTCAATCCCCGTGACAGCCATCCTGACCAGTGTGGTTTCCCTCTGTCACCCAGAATATGCTGGGATGGTTCTACTGAAAAGCCATGACCGTGAAGCCTCCGTGGCTAGAATGATTTCATTTACATGAAGTCACAAAGGTTAAACGAATTTGAGACACCGAGGCCAATTGTCCTTTTTGGGATATCTGAAATTAAACTTACCAACAAATTTCTTTGCTCTAAATTATTAACAAATTTATTACATAAATTTGGGGTAATTTTTCAGAGAATGAGGAGGGGTGTTTGGTGAATGTTTGACTTGTTGATTAATTTTTGAATTCTCCATTCTCAGTCACTGCATTTAAATAACAAAGATTTTTTTCTTCTTCTTCTTCGACGGTTTCTACCCCTTAGAGTTTGCCGTTTTCGATTTCCATAATTCTCG